ACTCAGGTCAACTTGATTTTACTGGTCAGAAATGAATAGCACAGCGATGGTTACCCAAGGAATAAATTTGAAGCCTGGTGAGATGTTTCCATTCTCTGATCCTAGGCCTAGAGAGTCGTCTTGTAAACGGCTGTGGACATTAACACAAACTTCCTTCGTGTGACGGTCGATAGCCTTTCAGGACATCGTTGTGGTGTATTGCAGAAACTTCTTGAAGTCAAGTTACCGCCTGAGGCCCCATTGCCCGTAAAACCCTCCGGGATGGGAGCGTGTGACCAAACAACCTTAGAAATCGTGTGATCTGACGGTTCAACCAACTGTCACTCATCACCTGATCGAACTGCTGTGAATTGTCCTAACTTTCCCTCAATACCTTTTGAGAGGGGTGTCAATCATGGGATCGCCCTGGCAGTGACTGATATGGGGGAGGGGCGTATCCATCCTGGTATGTTAGTGCACAGACACTACATTATGTTAATACACGCAATAGCTATTCCCCTCTAAAATACTCCTTCCCTCTTTGGAAAATGTATCAGGCCACTGTGTGGGATAATTGCCAATGTGTCTGGAAGCTTGTGGTTGGCGCCAGCACGGTAAACAGATAGTGTGGTGACCTTGATATGCCCTTGTGATTTACAGGGCCGAGCCTGGGCCAGGAGAGACTCGCCACGTGGAATTATTTACACTGTCAAGATCCAGCTTTTGTGCTATAATGGCCTTCGATGAGTGAGCCACGGTGTTTCAAGCAAGTATAGTGAGAATTTTCTGTGTATATTTAGTATCGCCGATTTTTGGTATTGTTAAATTCAGCGTCCCCTTCCGACCACGCCCCTGAAAAGGACGCTTCCTTCACAAAACATACAGAGAGGTCTGCCTAGGAAGGCCTCTGCCTGATTTATTTTGAAAGAAACAGAAACAGACATTGAATCGTTAACTGCAACTAAATCTGAGACAATTTGGTAACACCATGCTGTATTGTGTCAGAAATTGACGTAGGTTCCTCGTATTAGATAAATAAATTAATAATAATATTGTATAATTATATAAACTGTTAACATGTCCCCGAAAAGTCAAAACCGAGTGATCGAGGCCGGAAGTGAAACAAACGGGAAATGTGCATGAAACCGATTTTTTGTTATTGGCATAGTTGAATAGCATATGTATCTAAGATTCATCCAAGTGAGGTAATTTTTCGTGAAAAATGGTAATAAAGGTGACAAAAAATAGGAATTCTGAAGTGTGTTCGAGTAAGTTTTTCGCAAAAACAAATCAAAGGTATTCATCGTTCGAAACGAAGAAAAAATGGCTGCGTTCGTACACACCATTTCCCGCAATGCTCGCTTGCCATCCTAGCATGGTTAGAATGTGTATTGACTGATCTGTCTATTTATAGTAATGATATCACTGCCTGGACGTCTGCCAACTTCACGCAAGCCCTGGAAGAGTGTAAACAAAAACGTTTGCCCGCATGTAAAAACCTGCGTCTGATTGCGTCGAACAGAGACTGCGTAAGCAAAAGGCAGATTTTTCATTGGACGCTATCTTGTGCAGGATTCATTGATTATTTGGATGCGTGACGTAAATTGTGTAAGCAATTCAAAGGCATTTCATTGGTCCTGCCGGCGCAGCTTTGATTTGTTTACTACGATGGTGTGACGTATGACGGCGCTCGTCCAATCTAAAAAGGTAAAAGGATACCTTTTCAAGGCGAATAGAATTCCTGATGTGCGTATGAGTTCTGTGTGTACAAGTGTGTGCATGCATTGCCTTAACTTGAACAAACTTTGAGCCAGAAAAAGCCCAGTTTTAAACGCTTTATAAACAGTTTAATCATTAAACACAAATCTACATTTTCTTTTGCTCGCGTTGATAACTCTTTGGATTCGTAGTTGTTTTGCTGTTGAACTTTTTGGTGCCATACTAACAAACTCTTTTGGACATGACTGTTACCCGTGAGACTCGAATACGGCGAGATCTGAACTCCGCTCGAGATGCCAACCTCGGTGGTCTTTCTCGTGCGGACGAAGATGCTCTAACACAGTTGGTCACCGACATCTTTGTGGATGACACAGACTTTGATTCGTCTGACGAAAACAGTGACTCCTCGGGTGCTGTTCACCAGTACCCGAGGTAGGTCAAGAGGAAGATTTTTTTTCCACGCCACGGGTGAGAGAACAGACAGCGATGAGGATGATGATGGACCGACTGTGGAAGCTTACTTTCACAATAGCACCGAAAATTTCCCAGTTTAAGAATTCAGCAGTCTTTGCTTTTATTACAAAGCGGTTTTCCTACTTTTTATGTAATTTACTTTACTGCCACACCGCTATCGGCCCAAACACACAATGACTTGTTAACATTAGAAGTGGGAATTCACAAAATCCGATCCGAATCGTGTTCAATACAGGAAGTTTACGCCTTCATGTCTCAATATTCATTAAAGTCATGACACTGGAACGTTTAGAAAGGATTATTCTGCTCATAATTTCATAAATCCAGAAATATCAGAAAAGCCACAACTCAACATTAAATATCCCGTTGCTACGGAGATTTTACATGGGTACATACTCAGCGCACGAACAAACACACACGTTCTCTACGTTGTGGCGTGCTACGTGCCTTTTTCGAAGTCGTTTTTCTCGAAAACTCTCCCCGGTTGGGCGGACACGCACGATCATCTTTATCGTGTCGTATTTTCGTAAGGTACAAAAATAAGTTTGTTTGAAAGCCCGTTAATTACTCTTTATTGTGATGTACATATCTCAAACAGTAAAATACGGGGATTTCACCAAATATGCCCTGACAGGTCACAAATGTCCGTTTGCATACGAGACTGCATCATTGCATTGTTCTTCGTGTATTTTAGAATTTTGGCAGGATATTTCTCTTTTATGTCAGGTGATTTTTTCATTTTCTATAAATTGATATTCATTTACTAGCAAATATTTTCCAACGCCCCTTTTCAGATTTGGATTTTTTAAGAAGTAACTGCACAAAAATATTATCAATTTTAAAATCTTTGCACGTTATTTTTCCTATCCAAGGGTTCCCGAAGCGCGCCATCAGCTGTCGACTTTTAGGCTTTATACCATTGTAAGTGTGAGCAGGTATCCAGCCACGCCAAAGTCGCTCCTGATAGCGAGCTTCTGGAACTCTTGGATAATAAAAGTAACTTGCAAAACTACTGCAATTTTCAATATTTTTGGTTTCGATACTTACAAACTCCACTCGGAAAATTGTTTGTAGTATATTTGCAAATATATCGGTTTATTTAAATACCTGAAGTGAAAGGTAAATATCCCGCCAAAAATTCACCTCACCACTTCCAAAAATCTAAAATACATGAAGAACAGAGCCAGTCGGTGGCCTCGTAGGCAGATGAACATTTACGGAATTAAACTTTATGGTAGTTTGTTGATAAAAGTACCCCCCCAAAAAAATCAAATTCTTTTACGTCTTTTATTTAGTAGTTAATAAACTAAACAATCTACTTTTACTAAAGATGTTTAATTTAACCTTTCATGAAAGGAACTGCGTCAAGTCAACTCAACTGAACGTAGAACCTATTGGCTGCAGGTAGGCAAGTCTTTGCAACATTGTTCAATGTCGTATCCATGAAGGGACAGGTGGTGAAAATAAAGTGCATGAACAAGGAGAGCTGGGAACGATATTTCTCGAAGTAAAGGTCGTGAATGAAATTAGATTTTCCTATATAATGTAATTACTTAAGGAAAAAATTCTAAATTTCATGGAGTGGTTTCTTTTTCTCATTATGTTCCTGGGGGAACAAGAAAATTACTAATAATCTGTGGAAATGAGCCTAAGAACTAACCTGACGAAGCTTCAGCTCAATGAAAAAAAAAATTGCCGGAAAAACAATATTTTCTAGGATTTGATTTTCAATCAATAACTTTAGACTGATTTTAAATCGCATCTTACCCAGTGAACCGATGAGTTATAGTAATTGCGCGCACGTGTGCCGCGTCAAAGCTGGTGCACGCACCTGGTGACACTTTTCTAAAAATATGTCTTTGACGCATTATTGGAATTGACCTTCATTCATTGTTCCCTTAAATATGACAGCTTACGAGAAAGAATCATTTCAAGAGGAGCTCAGTCCCGCAATCACCTTAAAACGAAATGTGATTTTCAAAATGATAATCGTATCAGTTACTTTTTAAGTAACTGCAAATGGTGAAGTGTGCCTTTAAACAGAATTTCATTAGCAACCTCTCTTTTCTGGCATTTTCGTTCCAAATTCTACTTGCTCATGTACGTTTGTTTCACTTCATGAACTTTACGTGTAAATGAAAATGTGAAAAGATAATGGCACTATCCCCTCCGTTGACACTTCCTCTCTGGTGACTTGCGACGCTTACAAACTGAAGCATAAAGAGTCTAGCCTAGTTATTTCCGGTAAGGGGTTCAAAGGGCGAAGATCAGAAGCTGACTAAAGGATGGTAATTTTGAGTATTATGTTCTAGAGCGCCAGTGGAGGACCATTTATTTTTTCAAAATAATCCTGCTGTCAGGAAAGTTGAAAAGATTTTACTGCAGGCAGACGATAAGTTCGAGATTGACGTTTGCTGGTCTGCAGCAGTTCTTGTCAGCAATGTTTTGGTTAATTTTTTTGGGACAACCGGATTTTTCCTTAAAGTTTATTTTAAAAAAATGTTCAGGCCAAAGAAATTTATCTTGAAAGTCTGGCAGGTTTGTTTTAATGTTTCTGAAAATTAATATGCTGTCAGATACTATAGTCCGATTTGCTGACGCCACTACTTGCAGTGTCCGCCTCATTCACGCACACATTCCTAAGCTTCACGCGTGCGTGATTAAGGTTAGCAGTGTGCTCCCATTGGCTGAGGAAGTATTGCATCTCACCTGTACACACGCGTAGGGACACCCAGTGATGGCTCCTGATTCTTGTCACCGAATCGGCCTATACTGGGCCCTTTTCGCAGGTGCTTATTAGAAGTAAATAATCACACAATAACTATTCATTGTACAGGTTTTTCTACATTATTTCTCCCATTCAAGGGCTCCGAAGACACGCAATCAGGGGTCAACTTTCAGGCTCTTTGTCTTTAGGGTAGTTATATTCAGGAATACATGTTTGAAATTCATATTGATCATGCCCCAAAGCCACGTTTGATTACAATATCAATTAACGTAATTTCATATGACCTTAGACGTTCAGTATGAAAGAGGAGAGCTGAACGAACGTATGGAATAAAATAAAGTTACTCAATATTTCAAAAGAATCAGCGTTACCATGAACATGTCAGAGAACCCTCAATGATGTGTTGCACCTGATTATTGACAGTGTTCTCATTTGATCGTGATGTGGAATGGGTACAGAGGTGTCTTTCATTTGCATTTACCCATGTCGCTTGGAATATGATTACATAATCCAGTTGTATTTCTTCAATATAAAAATCTCAGTTTCGCCCCATTCTAGAGGCGTGTGGTTGCTATGGCCCGTTGCAGACTGCAGGTTGGGATTCGGTCTTGACTTTTTGTATAACATAAAATTACTGAGTACCGAAAGGTTGGTGTCCACTGCCTTCATCACCCCGTGTGTGGTGAAGATCAATCCCAGATAGCCGACTAAAGATATCGTGAATCACGATAAAAGGAGAATGACTTTCACAAATCACGGTGGCCCCCATCCCAAAGTTTGTAAAGATGTTGAAATACGCATCCTGTTCATTCTCACTCTGTTAAAATATGTACGCTGCTCAAAGGTAATTATGACAACCATTAGCTTGTGAGCGCTCCGTTTTCATGAAAAATACTTTTACCTCAGCGGGTAAGCTTAGGTTTTAGTATCCGAGTAATATACTAAGTACTCATAAAAACAGAGATTGGACAATACACGGTGATACTTTTGTTGCAATGATTTAACACGCTGAGGTTTCAATATCTTTGGGGAGGGGGTGTTTTTGTTTTTGTTATTAAAGGTATATCGACATAAAAATGGAGAAGAGTACCACTTGTAACATTTAACCTGCGTCACACACATTAAACGTTTCCAAACTCCATTATTGAAACTACTTCCGCAGCTACATCAGATCAATCGGGTTCGAAATCTAAAATAGCATGAGAGTACAAATTGGAACTAACAATAAGTGAACTCTAAGGTTAGACTGTCAGACAAATCAAGTCACTACCTCTGTTGGTAAATAATACTATTTACGACGAGTCTATTTACATAAATCCCTTGAAAGCAGTCAACTATAATTACCTATATGTCTTCCACATGAAGAATCGTGATCATACAACAACCATGCAATTCATAAGCAAGAAACATCAAATTTCATTTACACTGTTTGGTTCTCTCTAAAAATCACAGGAAATCGGACTTTCTGATAAACTTCCAATAGACTGTAGTGGCTCATATAAAATGCATTTGAGTGTTAAGAAATCTAATAGGCTCAAATCATTTGGAGAACTCGACAAAACATAGAATAGGTAGCACTTGAAGCTATGCATTGTGGAAGTACTGAATATGTTAGGCTTGCGGTTGCACCATGTAGAAAATATCTCTTTTACGAGTGTGTGATTCTGAGAAGAACCGATGGTGAACACTCGATGTTCCGAACAGTATGCTTTGTTCGTTTACCAGAAAGTCCAATTTCCTGTAATTTTCAGAGAGGCACAAACAGTGTAAGTGATATTTGATGTTTCATGGTTATGAATTACATGGTAGTCAGTCACCCTTCTGAAGACGAACAGAGCATACTGTTCCCTACGTCGAGTGTTCACCATTATCAGTTCTCAGAACCACACACTTATATCAGAGATATTTTCTGCATAGTGTAACCGCAAACCTAACCTATTCAAAACATGGAATAAATCATGGAAACTATCTCTTCCTTTTGTTCAGGATCACAGGTAAAAAGACTCTTGCAAAACGTGCCTATGTGGCATTTCTGTAGCGTCCAATCCACGCAAGCTATTAAGCAGTACCACTGCAAGTGTATGAGATCTAAATACATATATAGCTATTTATGCAAGGAACCACTGTAGAAATACTCTGTGCTCCAGAGATTTGACAGATTTATGAAGGTCTAAGTTTAGCCGCAAACTTTACACTACTTAGGTTTAAATATCATATTTTGAAAATAGTCTGATCATAACAAAATACCTCTGACAATTGTGATCATTTCATTTAAAATTATTTTCTTTCCCAGATGACGCTGTTGCTATGTCAAACCAGTGGGTTTGTGCTCACCCTGGTAAGGTACTCGTGTACCGTCGAGACGCGACACTAGCCCATGAGTTCCGCACCGTACGGGAGAGTGAGGTTGGCAAGACAGGAGTGTACCTCGTGGGTGTCGCAGTCATGAAAAACGGTCACGTCCTAGTTGGGGATAGAAAGAGGAAGGTGTTGACCGAACACCAATCCAGAGATGGTAAACTCATACACACCATGCCTGTAAAGTAAATATGATACTGTAAGTAAAACTAAACAGATTGAAACTCTGAAACAAAAACTGTACAAAAAGAAAGCCAAAGTGTGACCCCAAAAATTGCAAAAAAAAAAGATAAAAATGATACTGGAATTGAAACTAAAGAGACTGCAACTACATGTACTCTCTGGAACTAAAACTGCACGAAAAAAGAAGAAAACATCTCCAAACTGTGGTTAGAAAAAGAGTTTAAAAATGATGTTTTGAGTGAAAGAGTAAAAAGTACGCCCCCAAAAAAGGGGGTTGCCAAAGCGTGCAGTGAAAAATACCCGTACTCCAATTGAGACTGCAGATAACCTTTCCCACTACAAAATCTCTGGGTTATCTCGGGGGTAACGGCAATCATAAGAGGAAATAAATGGCCAGGGTTCATTAACCCTGCCATTGACCAGGGTTAACGATGACAATTAATGTCGGGGTTGACAGCCAAACCCCGGGGTATTAACACAGAAGTGGGAAACCAACCAGGGTTCCCAAGCAAACTCGGGGTTTAGGCAGCAATTTGTAAGATCGATTGAGGTTCAAAAGAGCTAAAATTGAAGTGCTTTGATAATCTGCTGAACATAGCACTTTCAAACCGAACCAAACGATCGATTCGGATGTTCGGTTTCGAGACAGTGCCATAACAGCGCAAGGAATTCACGCAATGCCCTGCATCACTCGATCCTTGTAAAAATCATGTGCTGAGAATTCACTAATAATCAACCGAGAATATGCATGGTACGTCATTTCCGCTGCGTAACAATTCTCACTACATCCAATTGTGCTTATTTAAACATGTATTCACACAATATGACGTATGCCAATAACCACGCCCTTACACTCCATATGAGACTAATGATGTCATAAATGGCAGTGCAAACCGAATTTTGACTTGTGCTCGATGGAAGGATGGTTTTGTCCGGCCAGAAGCAGCACTCTAGGGCTCGTCCAGATTTGGTGCGCTCGGTGGCCTCACTTGCCTTTCGTTGGGTGAAAGCCGTAATATATTTACGTTGTAAATGGACTTTGGCCAGATCTCTAAAAGCTGTTCGCAAACTTCAAATTATAAAATTATAAAAATCGTCCCTTTGACCACGAGGACGCCGTCCTGGGAAAGAAAGCCGACTTGATACGAATCTGTTCCGTAAAAATAACCAAACAGAAGTTACTCGAAATCTAATTTGATGGTGTATCCCGTAAAATAGGGAACACGTATTTCAGCATGTTGTTGGTAGTGTGCATGTCTCAACCCGAACAGAACCCGAACTCGGGGTTAACAAACCCCAAGTTTAACCCGGGGCAGAAAATCTTCGGGTGAAGCAGTTTGTAGTGGGAAAAGTGTTCCAAAGTTCTTGGACCGGTTTGTTGGACGTTGACTTTTACAGTCATTCAGCTGACAAGCACTCTATGCAGGTGACGGAAGTTGTTATCTCGCTGGCGCTGTGTTGGGTACAAGCAAATTTGTCGCATTCACAGCAGCGACGCCTGGTTCTCTTCCGCTTGCCCGTGGGGCAGAAGGCGCACCTTCTCTGGGGCGGCAACTCTTGGGGTGCAGCGGGTGCCACGGCTGGGTACGCGACATTGAACCCCAAGCCTTCCATGGCATTCATCACGGTCGTGCGCAGTCGCTGGGGCTGTTTCAGGCGGGTCGCGATCTGTGGATTGATGAGGCCCCTGATGAGTAGGTGGATGAAGATGTGACGGGTTCTCTCCTCACCGCGCAGATCTGGGTTGACTTGCAGGTAGATGACAAAACTATTGATAACGGCACAGTTGAGCAGGTGGTAAAATACCACCATAGGCCAGCGCTTGGTGATACGGGCACAGTTATAGAGGGAACACATTTGATCGACTGTGTCCACACCGGCCTTGGTGGCATTGTAGTAGGTGATGATGTCTGGTTTCTTCGTTGTTGGGTGAGTTGCTTTGTCACGATGCATCGATGACAGAAGCAAAATGTTCTTCTTGGGTTTGGGCACGTATGAAACCAGTGTCGATATGTTGTTGAACACGAATTCTGCTGATTTCGCTGGCCGGTTCCGTGTGTTCTCCTTCCGCATTTCCTTGGGAACCTCACGGCGATTTCCTTTGATTGTTCCCACAAGATTCATCTTCTTAGTGAACAGGTAATTGGCCAAGTCTTTGGTCACAAAGAAGTTGTCCGCCGTGATGTTGCGGCCCGTCCCAAACAACGGCTCGGCAAGTTCCTTGACAACACGGGCCCCAAGTTGACGTTCTACCCGCTCGTCCCGCTTCCCTGTGTATGGCTGAATGTTGTGCAAATAGCGCAGCTTACTGTCAACCGAAGCCCAAAACTTCAATCCATATTTTGCTGGCTTTTCGGCATGTACTGCTTGAAGGAGCACTTGCCTCGAAATGCAACAAGCTGCTCATCGATAGTCACACTTTCCGAGGGGCTGAAGTATCGGCGACAGGCCTGAGCGAACATATCAAAGATTTCTCTGATGGGAGCAAACTTGTCCGAGACTTTTCTCTGTGAGCGAGTCTTCCTGTCATCGAAACACAACATTGCAAGAATATCCTGGAATCGGGTACCGCTCATGGTGGCCAGGCATAGTGGTCTGCTGAAAAATCCTTGCTGCCAGAAAGAACGCACTCTTTCGTGCCCCGATTTTGTCACCCCGAGGTACAGCAGGAGACCCGGGACGGAATGTAGCTCCATCAATGCCACGTTCACCCACTCCCGTCCTCTTTTCATTGCGCCATGGGCGTTGGTGTGCTGCAAGATGATGTGCAACATGGCCGCTGGAAAGAACAATTGGAAAATCTCCATCGGTGTCTTCGCTCCGTCGATATTTCTTGGCCCCGGGCTTTCCGTCACTACGTTGCGCCTTGCCGTTCTTGCAGTTGTTCCCGGATCGCGGCACCAAATGGTTCCATCTGATGCCGTTACTTGTGCTGGCTGTGCTGGTGCTGATTGCTGGATCATACGGCCCCGGCAACGGCCAAGTCCCCGTCCGTGAGGACGGCCTCGCCGCCCACGCACGGGGGCGGCAGGGGGAGGCACTTGTGGCGGCTGAGGAGCAGGTAGTTGTCCGCTTTGTTTCGGCCAAATATTTGCTAGAAGCTTCTTTCTCGGCGGCGGTGCCACATCAGAATTGTCACTCTCCGTGTCACTCTCTGAAGTGATGTCACTGTCACTTCATGACTGGGGTCTTCAAAGCCACTTTCCTCCGAGGATGAACTCCCAGGGCTATCTGGTGCATCCATGAAAACTCCTGCTAGTGCATTGGCAGTAGACATCTTACTACTGGAAGCCATTTTGATAGAATGAATGGGCTGCTGTCTACATGCATACACTGGCCAATAAACTGACCGATGCCACTCTGTGCACTTGGTCACAAAGTCCCACTAATAATTTTCGGAGAAAAAATGACACAATCTTTCAAGCTATTGCTGTTTTATTTTTCAAGCAGATCAGTCCTGCATAAAAAAACAGCCAGCAAAAAGCCATCGACAATCATTTCCGTCCGGGTTTACAACATCATGGTAAAGGTATTCCCCAAATCCCCATTCAGGGTCTAAAGTTCAGCCCCGAGACTGAAAAAAACACAACTCCAGTCTACCCTTATCAGAGAGACCCCCTGGCTTGACATTGATAAACGACAGGCCAGGCGCTGGAATTGAGCCCGGACCAGTGCAAATAATTCGCTGAGGAATGTGGCAGTGTACGGTGTTCAATATCTGCCATCTCGCATCTCGCCGTCAGAATCTCGCGTTGAGTTTTCCAATCTCGTGTCTCGCATCTCGCAGTGCTATGTGCACAGTTGAATCGGCATTGGCAATGGACCACGTCGAAGGTTTTTGCCTTGGCTCAGGGCGAGCCCTTACGCTTGAGGTGACCAAACCATTGGGGGGGGCTTGAATAGAGGTAGGATTTTATGGATGAAGGTGATGGCATATTTGGACCTTTTTATCAATAAGTTAGCAAAAGAGGCCCTTGTGCAGAGGTCGATGACTCTTCCCAGGGCTAGTTAGGTATTTTTGTTCAGGTTTTTTGACGGTCTTTCATGTTAATCGGTCAGAGGACAGGCCGCAACCAACACAGTATTGTTTAATGGATCTTTGTGGATTTGACCCTGTCCCAGACAACTCATCCAGGCCTGATGATGTCATGACAGCCGAGCCGAATTCAAGTACATGCTAGAGATGTTAAGGCATCATCCTCCGGCAGTTTCAGCAAATCCAGATGCTGAAGTCAGCTTGAAACCAAGTTGTTGGAGAGCAACAGAGGCAGCAGCATTACATCCAGAGCTTAGAGTGTAACTTGCATGTAGATCAGCCGCAACTAAACCGGAAAAAAGCGACGTACCGAGATAATCCTATCACCCATTTCCCCGCCAGAAAGCCGGCAGCCCTGCATCCGTCAGAAACACCCTACACCGCTTCATCTAGTCCAATGATAAAGTCCCTACTCTTGCCCTGTCGAATCTCTCGTCAGGCAAAGATGACGAAGGCTCAAGATGGAGCTTAAGTCTACAACAAGCCCTGGGGGAGTGATCAAGCCAGAAGAACGTGGAGCTCATGTTGGGCAATGCCAAGAAGATGAGTAGAAGAAAGATGGCGCTTCAACCAAAATGGATACGGAGACTACTTAATGTGTAGGAACATCTGGAATTGCGGGGAGAAAGGCAAGGTACTTGACTGTACTACCCCGTGGAATGAGGGGAGAGGTTTCCAAGGCATCACAGCGTGGAGACATTGACTTATGGACAGGTACTGAATTAAGCTTGTGAGGTAGAAATTCTTCTAGCCAAGTCTTCACATTAAGACCATGAGGTGTATGAGGTGACATCGGCAACCAGGCCCGTCTACACCTGTGTCACAGAATGGCCACTGTGTCATTTCAACACCAGATGAATTGCAAGGAAAATAAACAGAGCTTCTACTTTTTATGTTTCCTTATTAATTGTAATTTGCAGCTGAATGTATGTATTGGTAATTGTATACGGATTCTTTATTTGGAGCATTGCTGGGGACAGCAACGATTTGAGATGCAGCGAGTGTGGCAGCGCTAGAAATTCGGGTTTTTTGTAAGCATCTTTTCACGGGAATGGTAGTTTCTCTCTAAAACTACAGTTTGTATTCAGAGTTCCCCTGTATTTTTCTGTTAGTGTATACCCCTGTTTATTTACTTTGAACCTTGTTTCTGCCGACACGCTCTTTGTTTGAAGAGCAGGCCCAGCAGAGACACAATCACTGTTCATTTGTTCCTTCTATAGGATTGTGCGTTTCCGCTGCTTGAGTCAGGTTTCTGTCTGCTTCTATGAGTCAGTATTCGAAAGCCAAACTCTTCTCATTAGATCTATTACAGCACACTGTGTCGGTTTTAGTCCTTTTAAAGGAGGGTTTTTCATTTGGAGGGTTCTTGTTGTCCTTTTTAAAGTCAAATTAGTGTCTGTTAATTCAGCTTCCTGCGACCTCTCCCTCAAAGATCCCTGGTTTAACTAAAGTTTTGTTTGTCTGTTGTTTTGTTTCTGTTTTGTTTTGTGAGTTCCCTATAGTGTGCCATTTCTCCCAGTTACAGATGCAGACAGGGAGTGCCTTCTTACTCAACGTTCTTGAACTAAGTTGAAGCACACGTCAGCCGTGTTCAATGCTGTTTCGCTGCGGGCCTATGAAAAATTACAGCAGAACGCCCAAGTTGGACACAATTGATTCATCTGCAAAATTGTCGCGAGTGGGTCATTGAAATCGCCAACGTACATGTATATTCGTTTCACAAATGTGAATGATTGAATGCATGCACAAGAAAGAGCAGAGCAGTGTGGAGATGGTGGAATTGTCGTTAAATCGTGCTGTCAGATCACATACATCACACGTACTTCGCGCCCAGCGATCGCGCCTATCCAACTACATATATACAACCCTGGACAAAGGTTGAAACGCCGTCTGGGAAGTGCGGAAAAAAAATCCCCTTCTCCTCCATTCAATGTTGCAGTCATTTATTGGACCAAGATTAGGGCCAACTTACCCAATGAGAAACAACATTGACAGGGGGCGAGAGGGAGGCATGTTCCTACGAGATTCATCCGGGATTATAGCTTCAGCGCCAAACAACACTTGTTCGTAATGTACACATACACAAAAGCTTAACCCATCACCCAACACGGCGCGTGTACTTTGAACAGTATATACCCAGCAAGAAATGAGACCGAGGGGTACCCCCGAACATGTCCAATCCCTATACACATTCCAGACTATTGTTACGTAACACA